TTCACCAGACTGCCCCAAGGAAAAACAAGGACCAACAGTCATAAACTCCTACAAGACTGGACATAAGAAAATTTTTTTTTACTGTCTGAGCCCTCAAGACCTGGAATTTCTTTACTGTCCATGCCCCATAGACTCCCTCCAGAAGTGGTGCAGGCACTTACTCTGGACTCATTAAAGAAACGCTTGGATGCTTACCTTGCTGGGATCCTTTGACACTAGCTGGGGCAGGGGGCTGGATTTGATGATCTTCCAGGTCCCTTCCAGCCCTAATGTCTATGAAATTTATGAAATCTATGAAAGGACTTGCATTTTCTGAGTATGGTCTCTAAATTTTATGCAACCATGATCATGCATATTTAGCATTAGGCATGTTTAGGAATTAACTAGCATCTAGGAAAAGCATCTGTGTCAGATCCAAGACCAGGTTTTCACAGTGCATTTCTTTCCTATCACTGCCATCCAAGGAGAATTCTGTGGGTCTGTAACACGTGCTAATAGTGCTGTTATAGTGTCCATATATTTAACTAGACAAGGCATCATTGTCTAGTTGGAATGAGTGATCAAACTGTAAATTTTACTTCTAGGTGCTGATCCCACTTTTATAGGTAGGCCTTTACAAAGATTTAATGGGATATAGGGCTACATTTTCCCTCCTTTAAAATGGAAAGGCATGGTACAGAAAGGAAAGGAAAGGAACGAACAAGAACAGCCATAAAATGGGAGAAAGGGATGAGAGAAAGAATGGGAGACACAACAATAAGCTCTTGAGGCTGATAGCAAAACAGTTTTGCTTTCTCTAGCCTAAGGAAGGAATTTACAGCAACTTGTAAATGACTGAAACAAGGTACCCCAAATACAGGAAGTTTGGGTACACCATTTGGTGAAGTAGTGCACAATATCTACCCTCCAAAAGCTTTCAAAGGCTCTTTTCTGCCTAGCAGAATAATGTACGTATTACTTCAGTCAGTGTTGATAAGGGACGTAACAACACTGCAATGAGCAGCCTTAGCTTCCTGGCAACATGTAAGGTATGGGTAGTTCCAATCAGAGGAAGTTGTGGGGCATAGCTGCTGCATTATTATTCCTACTTTGCTAACTACCTTTTACCATGACACAAACTTATTTTAATGACAAGACTGTCTACAGGATGCTGGTCTTAAGCTATCACTGGTTAGGTATCTGTGAAAGGGCTCCTAGTGATGACACGTTTTGGGATATGAGATATCATGATGAATGGTTATAACCTCTCTTGGGGAAAAATATGGCCAAAATGGGTTCACAAGGGAATTACTCCAAAAGATTCCTTTGTGAACTTTCTTTTAGTCAGCCATGTATCTAATTCTAAAACAAAGGTGTTAGTAGAGGGTGCAGCTGGTCTGGTGCTAAATATGGTTGTGTTTCTTTTAAATTCAAGGTTCAAGCACTTTTAGCAACATCCGTATCTTCTCATTGCTAATATCCATCATTTATATTTGGAAATTCACGTATCGGTGATAATACTATGTAGTCTAACAATCTTTGTTAGACTCCCTGAATGAAGAAGCACAGAACAGTATAGGGCTATGTGAAGCTTCGGTTACTGATTCGATTCGGCGAAGATTCGGGCTGATTCGGCGGCTGAGTCTCCAAATCCGAATCAAATCAAGAGACCCTTTAATGTAGCCGAATAGAATTGGAACCCTCCAGATTGATTCAGAGAGATTCGACAATTCGGACATAGATATAGCTTTAAATGTTTTTTCTACATGCTTCAAGGTACCAGGTGACTCTTGAATGCTGAGATGGTGGGGCAGATGGGGTGTCCCATGGGAGTGCAAGGGAGCACTTCCGGGACCACTGCAGACTGCACGGGGGACCCCCCCTCCCCCGCCACCCAGCTTGGCAACTGGTGCCTCCTGGGTCTGCGGGGGCACCCGGAGTCCCTCTGTGGTTGATTGCTGAGCTGGGGAGGGGGGGCATGGGTCCCCCACGTGCTTGGTGGTGGACCCGGAAGTGGACTGGACGTACTATGGCCGGATCGCTGATTCTCTGAATCAGCATCGAATTTTCAGATTTGGATTCAGCTGAATTGAATCAGGACAGTGATCCAAATCAACAAATTGAATCACTGTCCCCTGAATTGGACTGAATCTGAATCAAATATGGCCCGCTTCACACTCCCCTACAGAACAGCCTTCTGAATCTCAGGGCTAGGGACAGACATTATGCATAAACCAGTTTAAGTGATTAGAAACTGGTTTAAACCTGTAATAGAACAGATGTTCAGTGCACATAAACCAGTTTATCCCAGATGCTTTGCAGCCCTGGGTAAGACTGTCTGCTCCAGAGCAGGGGTGGTGTCACGCCTCTACTCCCTAGATGGCAGCAGAGATGGCAGGTATAGCAGGGTCCTCCTGGCTTCCCCTTCTCCCTCTGTCCCTCAACCCCACTGCACGGACTGTAGCCAGCATGCGGTATACTAGCTAATGCTGGGAGGTGTCTGTGTAAGGCAGACTGGACAAAGGCAGACAGGACAACGTCCACTTAGGGTTTTTTGGAACTAATCAACAGGTCATCTGGTAATGTTCCTCTGTTCCTTCCTTGGAAAAAGTTGTTTAAGAAGAGCTTGAACTAATGAGAGGGCTTTTTTTTACTTCATGGGGTGCTAAATGTTGTTTTATCAACTCCCTGCTGGCTCGCTTGCTGGTTGGGATCAGTGAGAGGTGGGGAACCCCCCACTAATCAGTGTGTTCTGCTGGGGCCAGGCCACACCCTGCCTCAGCTCAGCACTAGGGAAGGGAAGGGAGGGAGGGAGGCATGTGCCTGTATTTTCTCAGTCCAGAGAAAATGGGGATGTATGTGCTCTTGAAAATGGGTTCAGCCTAGATAGAGTAGACTAACCTGCAAAGATTGATTCAATTCAGGCTTTTTTAATGTTTGTCCCTACCTTTGGGGCAAGTAAGGGGCCTGCTTTGTGTCCTGGGTCACTGAAATACCACAAGGATCCCTAGTCCCCTCTGATTTGTTGGCAGGGTTATACTGTCAGGATCACAAGTGGGTCATATATGGCAACTCTCTTAAACAGAATAGGAGCAGACTTCATAGTGCTGAAAAAGAACTTAGTCTTCATTACCTCTAGCACACTACCCACCTAGCCTCTAATGCATGGCCAGATATATCCTGACCCAAAAGGAGCTGGTGAATCCTTAAACTGATACTGCCATGATGAAGAATGCTTAACTGGATAAAAAATGGAAGAGCTCAAGATTTATTAATGCTCCATGCAGTGCTTTATTTTTTAATCCAGATAGGAGGAGACCATGAAATTTAGAAATGCATTGTTTACTGTCCATCCTGTTGTTTGGAGTCTTCTCTAAAGCAGTTTTCTTTTTTATCTTATCAAGTATATAGCTACAGAATGGTAGAAAACCTCATTTTTAGTGTGATCTGCAGTTTAAGTTGGTCTGAAGACAAAACACTATCCTGAACATGATGAAAGCAGGGTTTAGACAACTTAACAAATTTTCCAACATTTTGTATCCCAACCACTAAACTTCTGCATGGGAAGAATATGTTTCTTTCCTCACAAAACTGATTATATGATTGATATTTACAAATGTTATAATTGTACAGGCTTAATCTAAGAATAATGTTCTACTAAAACAATCTTTCATTATGAATTGATGAGCTACAAAAAAAAATCACTGCAAGGTGTGGTTTTTAATTTTAATAATTTCTATTCTAAATTCTGATGCCGCCTTTACTGCTGTAATGTCACAGCATCTTCTGGCTTCTTCTCATTGCTTATATGCTTCTGTTCATATAAAGCAATGAGACTAACTACTCTACTATATGTCCCATTTAGTGTACATCATTCAGTGATAATTAGTGGAACAATACCCATAATGCAAAGCCAATTCCTATAGTAATAGGGTAGGCAATCTAATTATTTAGATGACTGACGAGATTAAAGAGATCTTCTGATGCCCAAGGCAAAACAGGTCACTAGGCTTCACATGAACAGAAATTAAAGTTTTTCCCCCCCTTGTGTAATTTTGGATTATTCAAAAAGTTAGTATTTTGGCATATAGTCTATACTAATCAGATTATAGTATCACTAGACTGTGGAGTTTATCTTTATCATCAATTTCATATCTACAGAGAGCAAATCTTACATTTAAAGTAGTACTTATTTTTTCTGGCATAATATATAATTATTCACAGAGTAATATTAAAGATAATGAGTTCAAAGTTAATCAAACTGCAGTAATATTAGGTTTGCTAGCTCATCTTCAAATATCAAACTCACTATACAATTGCATGTAAAGAACATTTTTAATCAAAATCATGGAGTTCATGCTATTTCTAATCTTTAGAGGTTTAGATAAAAGAGTAAGGTAGACGCCTTAAAGCCTAAGGACAAAAATTTGGTAGAATCAATAATTTCTTTCTTTGAACAAGTATAATTCCTAACACATTCTGGAAGTGTCTTGATTTTTTATTTTGAACAGAAACCCCTTCCCCCAATCCTGTCTTATTAGTATAAGAAGTTAGAAAACAGGTTTCTTTTGGAAAATGCCATTTTAGTTAAACTATTTAAAAAAGGCTCACTTTTTGATGGTATTTTCCATGAAATCTTGAAATTAAATGTTATTTTGAAATTTAAAAAAATGATTTGGAATTATGTGTAATGTTTCACTTTTATATAATCTTAAACTTATTTCACAACTTTAGTTGCAATAAAGTATAATATGAGATATCATCTTAGATCATATGACATAATGTGGCCAATAGTGCTGACATGTCATAATAAGATTTGACATCCACATTATGAGATATAATAGTAAAAATGTTTTATTTTATTTTTAAAAATATTGAGGGCAGATGCTATGAGTACAGATTGAAATATCTTCTTTTTAAAAGTATCTCCTATTAGTGTGTTAATGAAACAAACTGACACTTTCACATCTTCAACAAGAAAAGATAAGCACTGAAAGTACTATTTTGAGGAGCCGCTGTTTTCAGTATCTGTGTGTTATCCTGAAATAATTTTCCTAGAAATCATTTTTCACAAGCAGGAGACATTTGGTCTAAAGGCTAAAAGAAGATGAAGTGACAGCTTCAACAGGAGAGCTTGAGAGTGCCCCCCTCTAAACTACATCATAGTGCTGAGGTTACTGTTTTGGGATGTGAAAGATGTAGGTTTGAATCCCCCCTTAAGCAACGGAAAGAACTGAACTGGGATCTTCCACTGCCTGCATGACTTGTCTAATCACTAAGCTACTGTATAAAATAAGGCAGCAGGTCCTCAGTCTCCGGTGTTTTTTTCTTTTCTTTTTTTAAAGGGTGATCTCTGCTTTGTTTTTGAGAGAAATGACTGACTTGCATAAGGAGAGGGTTCAGGGCTGTGAATCCTCAGTAGAGGCAAGAAAATTCCTTGGAGCCTGCAGTTAAGTGCCTAATTCCAGGAGTGAAACAGAGTTAAAGAGCCTTCTCTCCAGCCTTTTCTATTGGCTAGCTTAAGCAGGTACCGGCTCAGCCTGCTTGCTGGATGCTATGAAATCCAGTTTTTAAGCCTCTAGCTTTCCCCAGGCATTATATAAGAGACTAATTCAGGGCTGTGGACTCCTCTACAGGGGCCCATAAGAGTCAGGTTCTGCAATACTCAGCGTTAGAGTGCCTAAGTTCCTTTATGCACCAGCCATTAATTTCTCCCATGCTTCAGTTTCTTATCTCTATGAGATACCTTCTCGCCTCATTGAAGCATGGTGAGCATAAAGAAATGAAAGATGGTGAGTGGCATGAATGTGGGCTGGGGGAGAGGGGGAGGCATGCACTGGGAGAGGCATAGAGAAAACAGTGATGTTTGGGGGATCTGTCCAGTATAATAATACTTGGTGCTGTGCACAGGGAAAATGCCTTACTGAAGCTCTCAGTCCTGCAAAGCTTGATAACTCTTACACTGTCCAGCTATAGATATTAGTAATGGTCATAAAATTGCAACTAAATGGAAGAGAAACAAAACCTCATTTAAATACTTATTTAAGAGAACCTAGCATTCTTCAACATCTTTGAGCAGTTCAATTGCTCTAGTAGAGAACTTCCAAATCAGCAGAATTGGAAGGTTATGCATCTTCCTCAGTTATCTCAGTTATAAATGAGAATTTATAAACACAGATAAGGCCTTGATATTTAAGGAATAATTGTATCTCTAAAGCAATCCCCTAAGTCACTGCTTTACAAGGAAATCATATTGAGTTGCACTTATTAATACGAGTATTCCTGATTTCATTGAGCTCACTTTATATAGGAATAGTTTCATATACCTCTTTTCATTATACTCAACAAAAATTAGATTTTCTCTGACCTGTGTGCAGGTTCACATAGCAAAGGAGAACAATGAGCTCCCTGTTGATTAAAAATGGGGGAAGCAAGGGCTGTGCCTGCCATGAGCTCCTAGGTGGCTATCAAACCAGAGTGGGTGGGATGAAACGGGACCAATCTGTAGCTCCACACCAAAGTTTTCTGATTCTAACTGTGAAATCTTTCCCAGAGCTCCTTTGGGGGCAGCAACTCCAAAGAGCGATGATCAGTGGTAAGCAACCCCCTCCTTTTTTTCTCCTCAGTTCCTCTTTTCTTGTGACACATTTTGTGTGTTAATTATTTTTACTTCCCCCAACTGGGAAAAAAAATTCAACTGCTTCCATATTTTAGACTCCTTATAAGAGGATACAAAGTACTGTCAGCACTCTTTATCTAAAAAATGGTACAATATGTTAGCATATAAGCTGTACAACAGAAGCTCAGGTAAATAATAAAGGAAAATGCCAATAACTAAGCCTATCTGTGCATCCCATTAACAGAATAAATTGGGGATATAATCAAAACAAATCACTGAAAATCATAGAAGTGGTTACTAAGGCTATTACCAGTGGGCATGTCTACATGTGCCCCTATGGCGTCATTGTTACTACACCATCATTTAGCACTTCCTTTTGGAAGTAATAAGTGACGGCCCAGTAACTTTCTGTACTGTGCCATGATGGTGGCGCACAGTTATTTTTAGCCACTATATTGCCGTAGCAATGTACTATACCAAGGGAGCGCATTGCAACAGTGACGTAGCTGCCATGTCACTGTTTGTGACTGCTGATGTGACGTCACTGTAAAGTGTTGCTACAGTGTTGCAGCATCATGTGTAGATGTGCCCAGTGACTACAGAGTATATACAGTACCATTAAAGAATAAATTAATGTGTGCTACAATAACAGATTGCTGGTTATTAAGATAACCTTGCTTCCACTGAAGAAGTCTTTCAGAGTGTTAAATTAGGGGGTTGTTATGCTTAGCACATATTAACTGCACTTAAAATGCAAGTATCTCAGCGTTTAAGCAGGATAACTCATGCTAAGTACCCGTATATCACAGTAAAGTTGTATCTTTTTGAGGTAGGTGTATCTCCCAATTGTATTAAGTAACATGGGATGCCTTAACATGGTACTGCTACATGAACATAATACAATTCAACTGCAGTCCCATGGCTGGGATGCGCAATCCACTGACTGCAGGTCCCAGACTCAGGACCACACAGGAGTATCCAACTGGATCTGGTGGGTCCCTGGGCTATGACTGAAAATTATTTGATTTTTCAGGCTCAGCCCTGGGATAGCACCATTGCTGGTTCAAGACTCCAGTGCAGTACTACAATCTATATTTAGCATCTTTACTCAAATACAAGACAAGAGTTTTTTCTCCTCAATCAACATTGGGAAAAAAAGCTTTGTCTTATATTGGTATACAAGGAAACCTCATTAAATATACTATCATTAAACTGCTGTAAAAAAACCATGTGCTTAGTAATGGTAAGCAACTATGAAGCTAATTAAATACAGACAACACTGAGCATGACTATAAAACATGTGGCCCATCTTGGGCAAACATACAGGATAGGAACCTACTTTTTTTTTTTTAAGGAAAATTTTTCATGTCCTAAGTCAAATCAGCCAAAGCAATTCCAAATCCATGTGAATCATTCAAGGACCATATGTGGCCCCCCACCAGCAAGTATCCTTCACCCCAGCCAGGGGCTTCAGATACTTCCAAATCCTTTGAGAGGCATCCTATATGCAGGTCCACACCCAGAGGCTTGGGGTTTGGATACCCCCAAGTTTCACTTGCCCTTAGCCATATGGCTGCAGGATCAAGCTAGGAAGGAATCTCCCATTTCTATAAAGTCAGCATGTAGCCGAGGTCCTCCCACTAGAAGCTGGCCAGCAGGAAACCAGCTATGAGGCTTTCTTAGGGAGTCCTGTCCACAAGCAGACAAGGGTGCACCCTCCACCATGCAAAGCGGTAAGGCAGCTCCCTGGTCAGGGTACTACCCCCTGTCACATTTGTGGTATTTCCCCTGCCCTAGGAAAACCACCCTTATGGGCATGGCATTTCCTCTATCAAATAAACCTTTGTTTTTTTTTTTGGTTTATTGCACCACTCCTGAAGCACTGCTATACCAGGCTGATGCATGGAGTGGATGGAGTAAGTTCCAGTTCCACCGCCCAACACCAAAAATCTGCTCAATACAGACTTCCTATGGAGGACATATTAGGGACAACCACCTGGGAAGCCTGTCTATGTGGTCACAGTGCTCCCACGGTGCCTGTTTGCAGGGGGTGGAACTACACCTTCCAGATCATGGTATCTCCCCTACCAGGTAAACCTATCATAAAGATAAGTTAATGCAACCTATCTGAATAAGGTATACTGTAGTGCCCATTGCATAGAGTACCCCTCAGAACTGGCTCTCTTTCAGTGTAGTGGTGAGCCACTACACTGAATATATTTTGACTTCCTCTTCACTCCCACAGGTGAGCTGCACCTTTCTTTTCCATTTCCAATTATTCCTTTTTCTTCACTAGCCTTAAATGTCTGGTAAACACCACCAAACAGGTCCCCAAACAGTTAACCTAGAATCCCTCTCAGCCTGTCTCATAAGATTAGTGTGGTCCTGCCCTTCATGAGGTGGAAGATCCACGAACTCATGATAAGAACACCCAATTCCAGTCATGTGTCAGGAGGATAATTAGCCCAAGGAGCCTTTGTTGTTAAATAATGAGCAGTGCTGAGCTGTGGGGTCACCATGGCTTGAAATGCTGTTGATTCTGCTGGGGCCCAGCCCAATGAACTATATGGTAAATCACAAGCCTTCTGGCTTGAATATCACGCATAGTTTGTTCTATACAGAAGTAGGTACAAGATTGCTGCTTAAACGCGTGTTTACAGAGTACCTATGCTAAAACTTGCAGCAGCTTCAAAAATGGTAAAACGCATGAATTCTGGAAGAACTAAGTTTATGTGTACTTATAATAATTTGTCTGTTTGCAAATTACTAAAGGAATATTTATTTTAAAGACAGTATTTTCAAATTTGCTCCTCACTTCTGTGTGTGCAGGGAGAGCAGGGTCTGACAGTAAAGGGGGGGGGGGTTGGGAGGGGAGGGAGGGAGTTGCTGCCAGAGAAAGAATTTGGGAGATGCGGAAGGGAAGTGGGCTACCTGACCCTCCCATTTTTATTTTACCTGAAGTAGCAGTGGGAGGGAGATAAAATCAAGGCAAACCTCTAATACTTAGTTTCTATACCTGGAAAATTATAACACATTTATAAATTTTCCATACATAGAATCTAATTATTGGGACTCATCTTATATTCAAGTAAATATGGTAGATTGTTTTCTGAGTTTTCTGAATAGTTGTACGTTGCTCCATAACAGTGGTTTTCAACCTTTTTTCATTTGTGGACCCCTAAAACATTTCAAATGAAGGTGCAGGCCCCTTTGGAAATTTTGAGTGTAGGTACAGACCCTTTTGTGTTGTTAGGTATAAATATTCACATTCTACTTACTGATCACAATCAACTTTCGTGGTCCCATTAGACAGCCTGTGGGCCCCCAGGGGTCCTCAGACCACATGCTGAAAACCACAGTTCTGTAATATAGGCATGGCATCTGTGAATAGCTTTAACTTAGGGTCTTGTTACACTACACACATTTAGAGCATAATAATTATTAATGTGTGACTGCTCAGAAAACTTTGTAAGTCATATTCATGCTTACTATAATCTAAACATAAAGTGCTAAGTATCACAGGTAGCATGCTCATAGTCTTTAAGAAGTATATGATAAAATCACTTATTTTTAAGTATACATTGCTTATTTAAACACAAATAAACTGAAACTACAGAAAATTGCAGGCCCTGGCTTGCCAATTTCCATGTCATCTTTGTTTCATACACAGTAATGCACAATGTTGATAATTAATAAAATAATAATTGATAGATAATGCCTATGACTAGGAAAGCCCATGTTTTTGGTGACGTTGGCAACCACTACTGTAAAACAGAAGTTCTCTTGCAGCGGCTACAAAATAGTTTTATAGACTTAATAAAAGATGGAAACTGAAAACCTATCGTCCCATATGCAACTAAAGTTATTTTGAAGTTTAAATTAATGGAGACAATGGAAAGGAAGAATTCACTCATGTAATAATATAACAGGGTAGTCAATTTGAGGCTAGCAACTTTGTCAAGAGAGTGTTCTTACTGGTATTAAAGGAGCAACTCCTTACACATCACATTTTCTGAGGATGTAAATCAAGAAAAGGGATTCTTTTCACCTTTCTTAACTGAGTATACCTCCTCTGCTCGGGCCTGTAGGCGAGCTGTTAGGAAGGCCAAGGCGGACATAGAGCTCGGACTAGCGTCCAAGATTGAGGATAACAAAAAGTCCTTTTTCAAATATATTGGGAGGATGAAGAAGGTGCTGGGTAATGTGGGACCCCTGCAGGATACGCTGGGCAATCTGGTGGTTGCGTCAGAGGAGAAAGCGGACCTCTTTAACCAATTCTTCACCTCCGTTTTCTTGTGCAGGGACCGGGACTTCCCTGCTGTGATAGAAGCCGGACTTGAGGGGATCGCCTTCAGACCTCAGG